TCAAGTAAATGAAAAGACCTACTGAATTTAATACTGATTTCTATAAAATACTGATTTTTACTGGAAATCATATAGGGTATCAAAACTAAGGTATAATAATAAACAAATGTAAACTAGTAATATATACATGTAATACATATGCGTGTAAATTTAAACTGGGAGCATCACTGCTGGATGAATATGTATTTGTTTCTTTCATTCATTTGTGCAAACAGAGACAAAATAAGTTGTAAAGGCATTTCTTCATAAATAATGCCTCTGATTACATTTTCCACTCTTGAGTTTTAAACCTGTCTTACTTTATAACTAGTTCAAGCTAATTGTCACTCGAAAGTTTTTCTCTTTGTTTCAGTTCATTTATTTTTTTAAAATGTTCCAACTGAACGTAACGTCTAAAATTTTATCAGTATTTCATTAGAAAAATTAAATATTATCGAGTTGAGCACAGTGCTAGAATGGACAGCGAGGATTGATTCTCCCTCCCCTTTGTCTCACCCAAACGAACTATTTTATTAAAAAACATTGAGTTTAAGAAAGTGGTGTATTTGATCTTACTTAAATCAATTGTTCAAAATCAGTGAAAAATAAAACAATACAAAATATAATCAATTAAATATATTTTATACTTTCCAATCAATAATTTTATAGTGCTATTAGAGAATACCAATAAAATTCAATTAAACATTTTACCTAATAACGATAATAAAAACACTAAAAAATAAGTTTTGAATTTATTAAACAATTAACTAATCTATGCAATAATAAAATATATAACAATTTTTGTTGCAAAGGCGATCTCAAAAGACTTAGTTTTGTATACTGAATCACAACAGAGAGCCGCGGTACACAGTATACTGATTGTTCTTCTCTTCAGAATGGGATTTTACTGATTTTTCAACGAAAGGAATCTGGCAACACTGCTCCCCAGAATCTGTAGCTCCACGGCTGAGGAGCGGAGACGACCGGCCGTCGTACGGCAAGCCTGTCGGGGGCAAGATGGAATTCCCTAAATGCAATAGTTTTCAACCAAAAGTATATTATAAGTTATACATTTCGCTAAAAGTAAAGAAAGTATAATCATAAAAATGTGCCAATATTGGTAAACACACAAATACCAAAAAAATTATTAGAATTTTCATGTATTTCTGAAACAAAATAATTGCAACACAAAGTTTGAATGTTGCAAACAAATTTGGGGCAGTTAATGCAACGATGTTTGGTCTTTCTGTCAGATTCTCGCCAACAATTTTCATATCGGTTTTTTTCTCTCTCTGGAACTACTGATTGTGGTCGAACCTCGGGTTGATCCGAAAATTTGTTTCTTCTATTAAACAACAATCACAGAATTCTCTTGTCGGTGATTGTCGACATTTCAAACAGGGTTGCCAGATGTGTTGCGAGCTTTTATCGCCAATTTACCCTAACAACTTCTCCAATGAAAGCAAAAATTCCCAACATTGAAACGAAAAATACTCGTCAAATTATAGATCAAAGATATGAGCTGTTCCTGACGATTCCATTGGTCGTCCCCTTAAATTCAAATAAGTCAAATTAGTTGCCTCTATTGAGGCGAAAGAGTTCCTTCGCGCTTAAGTCGGCAGCTGCCGCAGGAGAACGCCAAACAGCGCATAGAAACGAGTGAGGTTATAATATTTACCAGTATAACATGTAATAAACTACCAGATCTTTGAATTTAATTGGTTTTTTGCTTTAAACCGAAATGAACAAGGAAAAATATTATTTATTGTAAGAAAGCAGTACACTGCATAGTGAGCAATATGAAAATTAAAGATTTAAATCAAGAAAATTGAAAGCAATGAATTAATATTTTATTTTTTCTTACTTCACATTTATTTAATTAATTGGTTAGTTAACCAATTATTAAATTAATTGTTTAGTTGTGACTTTTATTAGTAACTATATGATAATTCATCATTTATTCATATTTCATTCAACAAATATAGTAATTACATGGTAGAAATGGCATGGAAAAAGCTATGGTAGAAATTGGGAGCTCAAGAACATTTGTATAGAAGTAGATTGTACTCCTTCCCTACACATCACATACAGCTACTTCTTTTAAATTAAATAATGATTTATATGCAGTGTAGTAATGTATTTCTCTTTAGACGATTCGAACTCAAATATATGATTTACGATTATGGTAATAAACAAGGTTTTTACGGGTAAAAATTACCCAATTAATAAAACAAGACTTGAGAGACTCGCAGCTGGTATCATCATGACTGGTCTCACCACTGTCGGTTTGTGGCACATAAAATCATTTCGAATCATCGAATGACACATTTCTAGTGCGTGAAGACAGCCTTATCGACGTCTTTCCGCATTTGTCGGCGCACATTTCTGGAAACACCTTCATCAGTGTAGTCTGTTGGTAGGCCTTAACCACGTTTCTGAAAAATTATGTTTAAACATATTTAGTAAATTACTTTTTATGAAATGTTTGTGTGAGTCTCACACCCCTAAGTACGGCATTTAATTGCATTTTTCCTGTTAATTTGAATTCAACGGATTTGGGAGGTATATTATTCATACTGAGGAAACGACACAGCACGCTAGTCACAATTCGGCAACATCGCCAACCACGTGACTCATTCAAATTTCAAAAACCAAGACTTTCCAAACGCCCACAGCGCTATGTGTGCGGAAGCACGAGTCAACAGAATTGTGGCTGTTCTAACAAGCAACCCTGCCCCTTCCTAGAAAAAATAATTATTACGTTAGAAACAATATTTTTTCCCAATGTCTGTTGCAAACATCAAATCACGTGTTTCGTGATTACACAAAAATAGTTCTTACAATAAAAATATTTTAAAAAACAAACAGTTGGAAGCCTTGCAACGGCCTTTAATGAAAACGTCCGTTAGTCTGTGCTCTACAATCAGCCTGAGAAGATACTGAAGTTGTCAAATTTGGAATATTGCTTTAATTCTGTAGGTCATACATCATATTCAGTTTTTATTTAATTTTAAGTTGATATATATTTATTGTAATTTCTATTTAACAGCCGTATACTTATATTTAATTGTTTATTTTAAATATGGCCTATCTTTTAAATTTTGCTAAGAATGCCAGTAGTTGAACACCATTCTCGTCCATCGGCGTACATATTCATTTTCTTCGTATAAATCGACCGAGTAAAAACAAATATGAGCTTAATAACTGATTTAATTTTATGCAATTATTCAAAAATCAAGTGATCTAAATTACACATCCAAATCTAAGATTAACTACTGTAATATATCACATTGATCAAATTGTTTATCAAATAGAAAAGCAACTAATTGAAAAAGAGGTTTACTTTCATTGTTAGGGAGTTTTTACATTTCGTACTTTAACGAGTAAGTGGCCGCTGTATCGTAAGATAATGAAAAATTAAAATTAATTGACTTTTAATTATTAAATTTTTCTCATATTTTAATAAAGTATTTGACACAATACAGCTATCTAAACCATCACTATTTTAATATATATAAACATTAAGAAAAAAGTATTTTCTAGTGCAAATTTTAAAAAATTAAGGCTTATAAGTTTAGATGTTTAAAAATATTCTATACGAATAATGAAAACAGAACAATTTGATTATATCAGTATACAAATAACTCTTCGAACGCATGATATTTTTATTGCAGACAAAAAAGTCCTTTTTAGTTTTTTCTAACTTTCGGCGAGTTCAGTAGCAGAAATTTTCGTTGCAGGTTTGAGAATTGCTTAATTTTAAGTTAAGTTCTGAAGTATACGTAATTGTAAGTCGTCGAAGGAACTTGTGCTACTGACTAGCGGAGGATTTAATTGCATTATGAGAGATGGATTGTCGTTCTATTTCATTGTTGAATAGTTTGGATCTTATGTACGATTAAAAACAAGTTGTGATTAACGTAAGGGCGCCTCTGAAATTTCCATGAAGCTTCCAATCGGAAAGTACATACGTACCGAAACATGCTGCTGAGTTGCCTCTGAGAAACTGGAAACAAATAAGCAACTTGCAGTTGCTTCCAGGCGCTCGAGTACACACCTGCTGTGCATCTGTTTTTGTTGAGACGAGTTGTGTTGAAGTTCGTTATTTTCCATTAGGAGTATACGTTCATTTTTTAGTGTTCGCGACTGTGATCGTTCTATTTACTTTATGTTATCTTTGTCTATTTATTGCTTTCATTCTTTTATTAATGTTTATGTATTCTTTTTTACGTTCTCGCCCTTCGTAAGAAGAGAATGTATTGTCATCGTTTGCCAGTTTTTCGGTAGAAAGTTCGCCAAATTTTGGGTAGAAAAACCCTTATTGCCGGGCCTTGGTAACGCAGACGTTGATAAATATTGTTCTTATATACAGTAAATTTACGTCCTGTAACATGTTGAGTTTTTAGAACTAATGTTTTGTAGGTCCTTGATACCTAAAAATCAATTCACGATTAATTTTTGGGGAAGTTCTTGACGTCTCAATGAAATCCTCAGAATTTTCTTACAAATGGCTGAAACTGTTCTGATTAAACTTTGTCCTTGGATAGTGAATACACTCTCAATATAATGGGGCAGGTATCATTTCCGTTAAATCCCTCAAAGCGTTAGTACAAAGATCGCACCAGGAAAGTTCTGAAAAAACTACGAAAACACCGTAGAAATACGTTTTACCCTAACTCGAGAAAACTGCGGAAGTTCTGAATATTTTGTTTGTGATATTAAATCTAGGAAACAGTATTTTCCATGTAAATTTCAGTAATAATTATTACACCTAGTGGAGTAGATATTCTATAACAAGCTTGTATGCTTCAATTTATAAACTTTGCATGTTCGACTTAGTTACTTTTATAAGTGGATTATTTTAAATGACGGTATTATTTTCTTAGGGACCCTTAGTAGCAAGTAGTTTGCAACTTGACAACGTTCAATCACAATGTCAATCACCAACTTCTTTTATTCGATCAGTAAGCAATTTGTGTTCAAAGGAGACCACAGAGGCCTAATGAAAAAATTTGTTTCAGACATAATGTTGCCAAGTATTGGAAGCTTCAAGGACATTTCCTGCCCGTTTTTCGACGAGGGTCTTTGTGTACGACCTTTTTGCCATTTTCGGCACCTAAGAAAAGGATTCTCCGAACACCGTTCACTACTCGAGGAAGACGTTTCTGTTATTTCAACACTCTCTGGTGAGGAAAATGATAACATTGATCGACATTTAACTTCTGAAGCAGACAGAAAAAATATAGTGGAAACTGATTTGCAAGGAACTATGGTGTGTCAAAGTCGATCAAGCGATGTAGAAAGTGATTCAGAAAATTGTGCAAAGAAAGAGGAAGAAGTTCCTCCTTCAGCCTTCATTTCTCGGAAGTCTCAAAATGTCCCCGAATATAAACCAACTCCCATCTCTGTTCTGAAAAATCGCCATATACCTGTAGTATATCCGTCGAGTCTATTCAAAAGTACCACTAGATTAAAGAGGAAGTCTGATAGTATTGAATCTTTTTTACAAACAAAATTGAAGAAAGACTGCAAAATTAATTGTGAAACGTCTATTAAGTTTTCGTCATTATTTGAAAATGTTTTTGAACAAAGAAATGTCTTGGGTGTTAATCGAGATGGCATTTTGAATACACATCCAGCAACAGCTCAGAGTGTGAAAGGAGAAATTGAAGACATTCCCAGTGAAGGATGTTTTACACAAAATTCCAATACTCCATCTGCACCTATTATATACGTTCCCTCTCCTGCAGAATATAATGATTCAGAAGAAACAGTGAAACCAATTTATGAATTCCTTTGCAATCCCAGTTCTGCTGGGGATATTTCTTCTTACCGATCAAGTCCATTAAATTGCATAGAACAAGAATATGAGTCTTTCTATTGCAAGAAAAATATCCAAGAACATATGACAAATGATGTATCAAAGTGTGGAGATTTATCCAAAATAAACTTGAATTTTAGCGCAGGCATTCTAAATGACGCCGATGATAAATTAAATTGCAGTAACCTCATAACGGTAGAAGAAAGGAAAGAAATCAGTAATGATGAGCAGATTAAGCATTCAGAATGTTATAAAAACTTTTCACTCACTGTTGTAAGTGAAATGAATGTTATTAAAGAACCAATGGAATATAATAAAAAGGAACTGGGCAATGGCGGAAAGGACAGTAAAGATAAGAAGGAAAATAAAATTAAAAGGAAAGGGGATAGCAAAAAGGAAAGTGATGAACGGTATTGCAACAAAAAAAGAACTAGCGATTACAAACTTCAACATGCCAGTTCAGTTATCAGAAAATGTGTCAAAGAATCTAATGCTAGAAAAGATGGTCAATATAAAGATAATAGAAGAAAAGATAAGCGTAAAGAAAGTAGACGAAAGAGTGAAGACACAATAAAAGCACAGAGAAAACGTACAAATTGTGAAAACGGAGACACAGTGAAAAATAACTCATGTGTCAATTTTGATAGTTCAAAGAAGTTATGTGGTCACAAAAATCATAGTAAGGATCGTTACAGCTACAAAAGTGATGCTCACAAAACTAACAGTTCTCATAAAATTGTAGGAGAAAAGTCTTTAAGAATTGAAGAAAATTCCAAATCTGATAATCATAATACTAAACGTAAATCTACTTCACTTTGTCCTGTAGATAGTAAGAAAATGATGTCTGATCTTGAGGTCATATCAGAATCCGAAAGGAGACAGGAAAATAAAAATACTGATGAACCAGATGGTACTTCATTGATGTACAATGGGGCGACCGACACATATATTCCATATGACTCTGCATCCACTGACAAATGGGCCTGCTCAGATGAAAATGAATGTACCAAACAAAGCTACACGTTTGAAGAATCTCAGTCAAATCTTGCTGAAAATAAACCAGAGCATAATTCACAGCAGGCCGAAGATGAAACGTATGTGTTTGGGAGACGCCGAATAGCTCACGATGGTGCCCAGGATAGGAAGCTTCTGTTACCACCTACAAGACGCCACAATGTGCCTCATCCATCTCAAACGCTATCAGAGCGCTACCAGAAAGTTAGGGAGACCCACAATTCTGTTCAGACTATTGTTCAAGGCCAGACTTGGGCACAAGCAGATGCATTCACTCACTCACAGTCCATTCTCGACTGCCCTTCATCCATGAACCAGGAAGATGTGATATCTTCTGACTCTCAATCTAAGAACACCACTCTTTCTTCTGCGGGAAAGAGACGTATTGCACATGTACCGAATGTGTCAAGACTGTTAGATGCGAAACGGAAATTGCTGCAGAAATTGAACTCGACCTCAGAATCATCTAAAATCCCACGTGATTCCACAAATGTACAAACATTGCCAAAAGGTGTACAACTTATTGCTCATGTTCCATTAAATACAGTGTTGGCTCGTCCTGTTGTGCAAGGGGTGGGTGGTAAGATACCTTCCAACATTAGGCAGAAGTATCTCAATATCCTGATGGACGAGTATCTTAAACTCACTTCAACAGAGCAAGAGGCGTGTGAAAGAGCCGAAGACGAAGAAAAATCTATTTACTTCCGAAGTACAACGCGCGATATTTATGCCAGTCATGTATCAAATACCATTAACAGACTCAGAAAAGCGTCACAAATTAACAGAAAACTGATGTCTGCGAAAATATGCAGAAAAAATGAAAATGCAACAGGTCATGCTTCTTTGCTAAGAGGGACAGTTGACACAAAGGGATCGAGGAGCATTGAAATAAGAAAACCATCAGCGAGTGTAGTCAGTAAGACACTATACGAATCATTATCACAGTTTATCATGACTGAAGAACAACTGAAGCAAAATGGATTTCCTAGGAGCCATGGTGAAGAGGAAGGTGTGGCAGTGATTCATAATTTCTTTAAGAAGACATTTCTTCCACAAAAACCTTCTGAGCGCTTGTGTGTTCGGTGCTCCAAGAAATACTACGTGGATGATGAAGGTCTTGCGATAGAACAAGGCCTGTGTGTGTACCATTGGGGTCGACCTTTCCAGAGAAAAATACGAGGTGGTTGGGAATCTTTGTACAACTGCTGTCAAAGTCACAGGGACGCCATTGGCTGTTCTGTTGGAAACTGTCATGTATCTGAGAACTTTGACCCTAATCATCTTGAAGGGTTTGTGAAAACATTACCAAAAGACACTCTTCCAGAAGATGACTATAGCGTCTACGCACTAGATTGTGAAATGTGTTACACTACTGAGGGGCTGGAACTAACTCGCGTTTCAGTCATTGACACAAACTTCAATATTGTTTTTGAAAGCCTTGTGAAACCTGAACGTACCATCCTGGACTATAACACCAGGTTTAGTGGAGTCAAAGAAAATGACCTTAAATATGTGTCAACAAATATTTTTGAAGTTCAGTCTGTGTTACTTAGCTTTATTCACGATAAAACTATTCTTATCGGTCACAGTTTGGAGAGTGACTTTAAGGCTTTAAAGTTGATTCACAATACGGTGATAGACACAAGTGTAGTTTATCCTCATAAAATGGGTCTTCCAAAGAAGCGGGGATTGAAGTCTTTGTGTAGAGAGTTTCTGCAGAAAATTATTCAAGAGAATGTAGGTGGACATGACAGCACCGAAGATGCTTGTGCTGCCATGGAACTTATGCTTCTTAAAGTGAAGGAAGATTCGAAGACAGCACTGTGAAGAGTCCATGCAAATATAATTTTATTAATTTGGTATTGTATGTCCGTTGTTATGTTATTAATTTTGTTAGGCCAGTGACACCAATTTAGTAAGACTTATAAAGAACTCTTAAAAGAAATTTTGCCTTTAAAAATTAACAAACAATATTCAACAAAATAAACATGCTGTAGAATATTGTCCAAATTTGAATGTATTTATTGATTATTACTATTTGTGTATAAAACATGATTGGTGGTTCTGAAAAATATTTTAACTGTAAGGTACGTAATAGTACCTATACGTTATGATAATCCATAATGTGAATTAAAAATAATGAAACCACACACAATAAATGTTTTAATATTTATTAAAACACCCCAAAGTCAACTTTTGGAAGATATATGTAGCTGTTAAATATGTTTGTTTTCTCAAAATGGTGCACGAACAATACAGCCTGAACAACTATTTAGCTGCTTCAACTCTCTATTTAAAATATTATTATTATTATTATTATTATTATTATTATTATAAGTATGTCAATGACATGACTTTGGTCAAAAACACAATTGAGTCAGTTCTTTGAGTTTCTAAATTATTTTCACCCGCACATAAAATTCTCAGTGGCAGTTGAACATAACCACTACTTAAATTTCCTTGATTTAACTCTTTTTATTAAAAAATACATACACTTAAAATTGTCAGGAAACCTCATACAGATATGATCCATGCCAATTTCAATCACATTCACCATCATAAATACGCTTTCGTTCTTGGATCAACACACTATTCCAGATTCCTAGGTCAGAAATTATTTTTATAATGAAATTTATACCATTCGAATCATTGCGTTAAATAATGGTTACGATCCTTTTCAATATCTATACTTACTATATAAAAGTAGTAAAAATGATTGTGAATGAAGTGTTTCCTCAAGATTGCCATTTGGAATCTAAGAAATGTATCGGCATCTCCAAGATAGATGCAATATAACATAGGGCAATGTTTCCAAAAACACAACTTTCATATCCTACAAAACTTCAAACTCCCTCCAATATTTTTTCCAGTTTAAAATAATCTATTCCCTCATTGACAGAAGGAGCTTTTTATTCTCTCACATGTAATAACTCTGGTTTTACTTAAGTAGGACGAACGAACAGAATTTTTTCTGCGGAAAAACTCATTAGATGTTGGAAACAAAATTTAGATTATCCCCCTTTGATAATAGTTTGATTAAATATTATCACTCTTTTGACCCCAAACATTATCTCAAAATTCTTCACTCAGCAAAGGCAAAAATGGACAGTTTGGACATTTTAGAATTTCCCAATAATCTTAATTTTTCTATCCTTAATGAAATTTTTTTAGTAAAAGACAGGTCTATTTGAATTTTTTTGACGATATCCTTCTACACTTTCAGCTCCTTCTTCCTCCTTCATGGGCATCCACTTCTCCCATTTCACCAGATGGCGTTCTCCTAGGTATTTCCAGCACATTGCCTAGCTGTTGTGTTCATGTGCGTTCTACGTTGATTGGGTATTAAGCAATTTTCATGAAGTCATTTTATCTCATTTTTCTTATATTTCTTTTTGTTCTTACATACTTCATTTTTTTATTTCCTTTTTCATGTTATAGACCCTCTGAAGATGGGAAAAGTGTTCCAGAAAGTTTACTTTTGGACGCTTTAATATATATTAAATATTTTATTGTTTGTTTTCATTTTTTTAAATTCGTATTTTAACTTTACTATTGAGAGGACGTTATTATTTTCAGTGTCATGTTTCTTAAATGTGTTGGCAGGTTTCAGCAATTGTATCCTAAAGATATATACGGTCACCAATCCACTTAAAAAACTTATTAAAACAAATATAAAATGTTTATCTAATTTTGGGGGAATAATTAGATGAAAGAAATAATGGGTCAGATATGTAATTTTATCATTAAAATCGGGTGATGTATAACGATCGTTTATCATACTAATAGCTTACAGATGGTGAGGCTTGGGTTTATATTGGAGGAAACACCCTCCACTGATTTGATAAATAATTTGATAGTGATTTTTTATGTACGTAAAAGGTTGTATGAAGGTGTCCTAGTGTAAGAGGGGACATATTTAAGCGTCATCGTAGATATTATATCAAGAAATTTTAAAAACATGGATAATTGATGAAATGTTGAATTGATTAAACAAATAGCAGGGCAAATAAATTATATCAATAAAAGTAGAGAGATTCTTTCTTTCGTTATAGTATAGATTTTAGTAATAAAGAATTACCATGATTTATTAAATATCTGTATTTCACGAATGGATTTTGTAAACAGGATATCTAAAATATAGAACATTATATCATTACATTATTTTAAATCAAATCGGCGGCACTCCATGAGGTCCCTCTCTCTTGATTGAATTGCTCTTCCTATCTCTTGCATACTTTTTATTTAAATAGTACTGGTTTTTGGCATATGTAAATACTAATACTATTCATCATGATCATGACTCCATGCAATGCTCTTCACTTTTGATGAAAGACAAATTTTAAAATGTTAGTAATTCTCGTTTAAAACATCATTAAACTAGTAAACCATATATTTGGTCGTACCCTAATTTTTTGCCCCTCGAGCGTCTTTTAAGCCCTCGGGTCAGACCTCTGATTTGGAAATCGAACTCGAGACAAAACGTGTACTAAACGCTCATGATTCACAAAAAAACTATTTTCAATCACAAAATAGAGAGAATGTAATACTCAAAATCGTGGTGCGCAATAGATTAAAGTAAAAATCTGTTCCAAGAAAAGTATGGCGATTCACGCTTGTAATATATTGTAATAATAAATTCATTTTGGATGTATACATTCTTTATTTCATATTCACTTTTCTTTTTAACAATGTTTTATCTAACTTAAAAAAACTTTCAGTTCTATAATCTGATAATTTATGTATACGATAAATCCATTGTTGTATAACTTAAATTTAAATAAAATACCGTACGTTTTATTCTGTCATTACATTCGATACAAATCCTTTTCTCGCCAGCCTGGATAGCCGAGGCCGCTAAGGCTGCAGGACCGTAGCTGCCTCGGTTCGAAGAGTCACGGGTCCGACTCCCACCTCGAGCATAGATGTTTGTGTGTGCTCGTGTTGTCCTTACGAGTTGTGTTCCCCTATATATAAACCAATGTAAACTATCAATGAGGTCGCTACATGACCCAGTAGTTAATAATCGATATAAAAAACCAAACTAACAAGAAAACTTTTTTTTATGATTATAAATTTCAAATATGGAATACGTATTAGATTCGATGGCGCATTAGGTTTGCGAAAATACGATATATTCTCTATTTATCAAACGCGTTTGCAGAGGTACACATCCATAAAAACTGGGTTCGACAGGGACCGTATCATGTTGCAGATAATACAAAAACATTAATAAAAATTAGTCTAATTATGATGAAGCCCAATATGAGAGGTTAGCGTTTTGGAATACAGCATGACTTAATTTACACTATGAAGAACGAAAAGACAAACCGCTGAAAAGTACGTGTGCCCAGAGCGGGTACGCTGCGTGGGGTGGCCCGCCTCCTAGCTCTGTTCCGGATGCCCCTCGCACGTGCTTGAGGCAGGGGTGGAGCGGGGAAGGAGGTGCCAGCGCGGAGCAGAGCGGCCGAGTCAAACTAATTAAACAGCGAGTCGCGCGCTGTCAGCAGCAGAGAGCGCCGGCCGGCGGCGGAGGCGGCGAACGGACGGACAGACGGACGGACGGACAGAGGAGTCGGAAGGGGGGGGGTGAAGCTACTTTTGAATAAACAGACCACGCAACCCGAGCCAGTGGAGGCGCCTAGACCATTTGCTCTGAGTTTCCGCACCGACCGAGGTTGGCTCTGCTGTCCAGGTGACCTACTCCGAGCTTCTGTTACTGACACTTCGTCATAGGAGTGCTTAGAGGCGTCTCTTTGTGATTTCAACCTACGGTATCTCAATGATTTTAGACTTGCTTACGTCTTTGAGAGTGACGATTTCCAAGTCTGAAGTGTCTTAATCTTTGTTTCAAATGCCAATGATTTCATTTTTTCACTTTCTCCCCCTTAACGAAGGGACTTCGTATCGTAAAAAGAGAAAGTTACGTAATCGGCGATTTTTTGGCAGAAAAACTCTTATTGACTGGTATTGGTAAGAAAAGTGTTTATCCTGTCGTTAAAAATAGAAAAAATCCTCTATCACGTGGTGCGCCAGAATTCACATATTGTGGGTTATTGATGCCAAAAAGGCGATTGATTGTCGTATTGGGGTTCCCTGGAACTGAAAGTATTTCCGTCCGCCCGTCTATCAACAACAACAACAACAACAACAAGAACGCTAGCGTCTAAACTATTCAGCCGATTATCTTCGAAATTGATATTCCTCGATGGATGTGAATAAAGTCCGTGCTTTTGGGTTTTCAAATAGATATTTTAATTTTGGGGGTACTTCACGTGTTGCCTTACAATATTTAGAATTTTTTTTTTTAAAATGGCACCAAATTGTCTGATCAAACTTTGTCTCTATAGAGCGTAAAGGACACTTTAGAGAATAGCGTAAGTCTCATGTTCGTCGAAATCCCAGATGTTTTGAAAATGCGATGTTTTGGGGCGTATATCTACAATTATAATATTACAGACATACTTTTTCCTTAATAAAATCTGTCCTTTAAGATAAAACTGAAATAATGTTCGATTATTATAAGTAGGCAACTAAAAGAAAATTGTAACATTTTTCTCAAAAACGCTCCAAATTTCTTCAACGAATAAAAGACGGGATACTTAAATTAATGACGCGAGAACAAGGAGAAATAATTTTATTTTCGTTGAACTCTCGAAATAACGTATGAAAGCATGTGTTGTTGCAGCACCACTAGTTTCACTATGCTTAGTTAAAAGTATTTCATTTTTCTCTTAAGAAACAGCAAATTGTTCTAGTGCATCCGTTGTTCTAACCGTGGGAAAAATAAATAAAAGAATTGGAACGGTTTTTGAGAAAATGTTTTT